GTTATGTTATGTGTCATTATGTTATATTGTACAATAGTATTAAGTGCCGTAATATGTTATGTTATATATGACCGAATAATGTCCACAAACCTACGAGAAGTAGTTATCCTCACTCACCTCGCTTCTCCACATTTAGTAATAAAAACAAAAACTGCGTTTAAAAAAACCGACTTCGAAAACCAAAACCTTAAAACAAGCAATAGGTAAAAACTAAAAAGCACAAATTAACTATCATTAGTCATACGTACTTATAGGTTATCCACCCACTGATACCTGAGAAGTCGGTGCCACAAGTTTTAAACAAAAGTTATTCTTTAAACCCGTAACCAATACCTTACATTACCTAAGCTGTGTACAATTTTATGACAAATTATAACCATGACCATTAACCTAAGTTTAATTTTGTTATGTGCTTGTGGCATCGACTTCTCACCTATCAGTGGGTGAATAACCTATAAGTACGTTTGACTAATAATAGTTATGTTTTGCTTTTTAGTTTTTACCTTTTGCTTGTTTTTAGGTTTTGGTTTTCGAAGTCGGTTTTTTTAAACTCAGTTTTTTGTTTTTATATTTATGCTTTTTAGTTTAGTCAGGGCTATATAGACCCAGTATACTACGCATATCCCACATAGGCGTAAAGCTCTCATCATTACAAATTATTCAGGCTCAAACATCAGGTGAACGGTTAATAGTAGCTATTAATTGTTTATAAGTACCCTTAGCTATCGTATTACTTCATCATCAGGCCCCTAATGACAAGCACACCCCATTTAGGTGTAAAGTTCGCATCAAAACCAATTTATAAAGCTCAAACACCAAGAAGCTACTGTCAGCTGTTGAGGAGATCCCTTAGCTATCATACTCCTTCGTCATCAGGCCCCTAACAATAATCATACTCCATTTAGGTGTAAAGTTCTCATCACTACAAATTAATCAAGCTCAAACACCAGGCAGCTACGGTTAATCGTTGAGGAGTTCCCTTAGCTATCATACTACTTCATTATCAGTCCCCTAATGACAATTACATCCAATCAAGATGTAAAGATCTTCTCAGTACAAATAATTTAAGCCCAAACACGGGGTGATTGCAACAAATTCTCGAGGAACTCCCTCGGCTGTCTCTTGACTCCATCATCAGATCAACTCCATACCTTCATCAAATTGTAGTAGTTTCAAATATCATATCAAAAAGTTTGCAAACGCTCTCGCCACCTATACAATTTTGAAAAGTTCCCCTCGGTTACCATGGGATCCCATCATCAGATCCTGACCTGATGGAAATGAGACCACCCCAAAAGTATAACCTTTCCAACAAAAAAAGAATCATCAAAATCAATCAACAAACGCCAGAGTAATCGCGTAACATACACTCAAAAAAAAAACATACAGCCGAATTGAAAACCAGCTATTTTTTTGGGAAGTCGGTTAAAAACAAAAGGTAACATTGTGAATATATCAAGTGTCGCTGGGTATCGCGTATTTCAAGAAAGTTTTGCATACTGCACGTCAAAGGCTGGACTAGATCACTTCACTAAAGGTGTTCGCGTCAACGTGATCAATCCCGGACCCGTAAAACAGATATCGTTGAAAATTTGGGAGCAACGAATGAAATAGCAGAAGCAACTTTCGATCGTATGGGAAAAACGACTGCACTCTCAAGAGTTTCAGATTCTGACGAGGTAGCCGATCTGATTATATTTATAGCCAGTGATAAATCTAAGGCTATCACAGAATCATCTATAGTGACTGACAATGGAACGATGTTGAAAAGTAATGACATGTCCACGTAAGCATCCTAAATCAAAGATAATATTAAAAAATGTTTTATTTGTCAAACTTTTAAACCACAATTATCAAAGTTGTCGATAGATTTGAATAGGGTTATCCCATAGATAGCTGAGGGTTGTGTTCAACAGCTTGAATGGCTATAAATGGCGACTGAAATTACAAAATATCTAGAAAAGCAGTCACTTTTGTCGACTTCGAAGTCGCACATATCAATGTTGCGCAGCAATCACTATGAAGAAAATTATGTTACTTTCTTGTAGTTCCGGTTAAGTGAGGAAATCAAGAATTATCTTTTGATAAATATTCCGATATCAGTGAATTTTATTGTATTGAGACATTCCTATAGATATTGCCTTAGATGACAATTGAAAAAGAAGAAATATGAATGATTTTCAGTTTTTCATTCAGGATTAGATTATTTGTTCGATTAGATTACTCATTAGTATATAAAATACATGAAAAAGGAAACAGAAAATAGTTTAAATTTTGCAACTGTTGCAACATAACATAACGCCATGAGTTTCCAAGACAAAGTCGTTATCGTCATTGGTGCCAGTTCTGGCATTGGAGCAGCCGCTGCAATCAAGTTTGCAGAAGAAGGAGCTAAAGTAGCCTTAGTGGGCAGAAACCAGGAGAAACTGAACAACGTCGCGAAGAAATGCGATAATCCGTTAATTATCGCTGCTGATATTACTAAAGATGAAGACGCTAAAAGAATTATTGAAGAGACCGTAAGACATTTTGCAAAGATTGATATTTTAATAAACAATGCTGGTACAGGAAGTAGAACAAATATTCAAGATAAAAGCTACATTCAAATTTTTGATCGAATAATGTCTACAAACCTACGCGCAATGGTTGTGTTGACCCACCTCGCTGTACCACATTTGGTAAAAACCAAAGGTAATATTGTGAACATATCAAGCGTTGCTGCGTATCGAGTTATAATCCCCGAAAGTTCCGCATACTGTGCATCAAAGGCAGGATTAGATCATTTCACTAGAGCTGTGGCACTTGAACTAGCCCCACACGGTGTTCGAGTCAACGTTATTAATCCAGGACCTGTAAGAACAGATATTATTGAAAATACTACGGGAGTAACAAAGGAAGAGGCGACAGCAAGGTTCGATAGTATGAAAACACTAACTGCACTCTCAAGAGTTTCGGAACCTGAGGAGGTAGCCGATCTCATCTTGTTTACAGCCAGTGACAAGTCTAAGGCTATCACAGGATCATCTATTGTAACTGACAACGGAATGTTGTTGAAATAAAATTGATGACATATCCCCGTTTAAATGTATACGCGTCAACTGTGTGTATCTAATACAAACACAAAGGCGCTTATTAATCCTTGTTATTGTTATTAAACTTTAGATTTTGTTTTTAGCGAAAATAAATTGTGTAACTCATTCATATACATAGTTTTGTGATTCCGTTTATGAATAAAACTAATATGTTTGATTTTCTTTTGTTAATTGCCTGTAGGTACCTGTAGAACTCACTAATCTCCAATTCCAGTAGGTTAGAGTCAACACTGAGTCTTGAACAAAATTTGACTAAATTAAATAATTTACATCAAACATTTACAAATGTGCCTTGCATGAAAGCGACTACTTGAATTTACTCTCCACAAACTGCTAATGGTGCCTACATTACCCAAGTTTGCTTACGGTATACAATTTAGTTATAAATCGTCCGATCGTTTAACCGTAGCAATGGACACTGATTTTGATATGTACATTTGTGCCCGGTTATCATACATAAAGTGTAGTTGGGCTGTGCAAAGAATAGGATAACTCTTGCTAAACTTATAGACTTAATACTGAAATTACAATTTTACTACTGAACCATCTCGAAAGCACTTCGTGTTGTAATTATAGTATCAACTACAATTTTATAAAAGAAAATTAACAATGACTGGTGATTTTTATTATAAGATTTGATAAGTTGTCAGATTAGATAACTCACTTGTATAAATGACATGCAACAAGTGACAAATAACAGTCTGAATTTTACATTCACTGCAAACTTGTTCCACCATGAGTTTCCAAGATAAAGTAGTAATTGTGACCGGCGCCAGTTCTGGTATTGGAGCGGCCACTGCCATCAAATTTGCAGAAGAAGGAGCAAAAGTAGCCTTAGTGGGCAGAAATCAAGAGAAACTGAACAATGTCGCAAAGAAATGCGGTAACCCCTTGATCATTGCTGCTGACGTATCGAAAGATGAAGACGCCAAAAGGATCATTGAAGAAACCATAAAACGTTTTGGGAAGATTGATGTTTTGGTAAACAACGCAGGTATAGGAGGTATTACTAAAATACTAGATGAAGGCGTTATCGAAGTTTTTGATCAAATAATGAATACAAATCTACGCTCAGCTGTTGTTTTGACTCACCTCGCTGCACCACATCTTGTTAAAACAAAAGGTAACATTGTGAATATATCAAGCGTTGCTGCATACCGAGTGACTCGTGGTTATGCTGCGTACAACACATCAAAGGCTGGAATGGATCACTTCACCAGAGCTGTAGCACTTGAATTAGCCCCACATGGCGTTCGTGTCAACGTGATCAATCCAGGACCCGTGAAAACAGACATTATAGAAAATATGGGAGCAACTAAGGAAGCGGCAGAAGCATCTTTTAATAATTTGCTGAAAGCGACAGCCCTTTCAAGAGTTTCGGATTCTGACGAGATAGCTGATCTAGTTTTGTTTACAGCCAGTGACAAATCTAAAGCCATCACAGGATCATCTATTGTAAGTGACAACGGAATGTTGTTAAAACTTAGTGACTTCACTCCAGTAGATTTGTGAATAACAGTTTCAAAAGACAGTAGCAATTCTTTAAAGTAAAATTTTAATAATACATATTAGAAAATAGAATTCTGAATATTTTTATTGAAATCTTTATTTATTTTTAAATATAAACACACTCTTTGAGACTACGATAAGTTGCTCAACTCCACGGTTTTACAATGCCAAGAAATTATAGTGACCTAAAACAAATTTCGCTCACATCAAATAACAGTTACATTACGTGCATTAAAAGGTATAACAAAGTCACAAAAATCCATTGAAGCACTCCTTATATATGTATTTAAACGAAGTTTAGCAAATCTGCTAATTGACAAATGTGTTTACAGTGTGCTTGATTGTTTAGATTACATAACATCACGCCTTTTATCCCCGAAGGGGTAGGCAGAGGTGCACATTATGCCACTGTATAATGTAACACCCACTTTTCACTATTTATGTTATGAGTCCCATGTAATAGGGGGTGAGCCTATTGCTATATACCGGGCACAATTCCAGACTCCGTGCTACTACTGAGAATTTTGTAAAAACCCAGTAATATTTTGCCCGACCCGGGAATCGAACCCGAGACCCCTTGCCCGGCAATCGCACATGCGACCACTCGGCCAACGAGGCAGTCCTTGTTTAGATTACAAATTGTAATATGATAATATGGCTCAAAATTCAATTGATGACTTTTTCTTTATTTGGAACATTTTTGACTATTGTTGTAGCATTTATGAGAAAACCATGTGTGATATTTATGTGAAATTTGATATCTATAGGATTTCATGTGACATAGAGGTATATATGATACATTTTCTGGCTTCTATTATACTGCATATATTTTCTAAACTATCTTGTATAGTTAAACCATAGCAACCTTTTATAGATGCGTTCATAATAAATTTATATCCGTTCATAATCATTCTTTATTATTATGTCAACCATGGATAATTCGATGATAAATTAGATAAGCTATTTGTTTAGATTACCCATTACTATAAATTTCATTGGAATTTGCAAAAACATTAGTTAACCTTCTATAACGGCTGCAACACTATATTATAAATAATGAGTTTCCAAAATAAAGTAGTGATTGTGACTGGGGCCAGCTCTGGCATTGGAGCAGCAACTGCCGTTAAGTTTGCAGAAGAAGGAGCTAAAGTTGCCTTGGTGGGCAGGAACCAAGAGAAACTAAATAATGTCGCGAAAAAATGTGGTAATCCCTTAATTATCACTGCTGATATTACTAAAGATGAAGACGCCAAAAGAATTATTGAAAATACCTTAAGAAATTTTGGAAAAATTGATATTTTAGTAAACAACGCTGGTATTGGTAGTAGTTCTAATATTCTAGATGAAGGAGTTCTACAAATATATGACAAAATATTATCTACAAACCTACGCTCAGCAATTGTTTTGACGCACCTTGCTGCACCACATATAGTGAAAACAAAAGGTAACATTGTGAATATATCAAGCGTTGCTGGTCATCGCATGATACCTGAGTTTTCTGCTTACTGCACAGCTAAAGCTGGTTTAGACCACTTCACCAGAGCTGTAGCTCTTGAACTAGCTCCTCAGGGCGTTCGTGTCAATGTTATTAATCCTGGACCTGTAAAGACAGATATAATTGAAAATTCAGGAGCAACAAAAGAAATGTCAGATGCTGCTTTCGATCGTATGCGAACGAGGACTGCACTCTCAAGAATTTCAGAACCCGGTGAGGTAGCCGATTTAATTTTGTTTGTAGCCAGTGACAAATCTAAAGCTATTACAGGATCATCTATTGTGACTGACAATGGAATGATGTTAAAACCTTGAATCAATTTTATTTGACGTCATTTTAAATTAGAAAGTATTGTTTTAAATCGCAATTGTTATCTGACGAGATGTCCATCTCGTTGGGGAACGCTCACGCGATATCTTGCCTTCGGCGTTTCCAACTACGATCAGCTTATCCAGGGTCTCGCCGCCCCTGTGGATTGTGTAGCCAAAGTACTAAAGGATACATTGCTGGTATATGGTGGACAACCGAATTTCTATGCGAAATTGAGCCAGTATGGATGCATTGGTACGCTTTGTTGTCCAAGGTATACAGTAGTTTCTATTTCGAGAAGTTAATTCCACAGTTTAATTAATCTTACTATATGTCATTTAATTTTTAGTTAATATTACTTTAAATAAAATGTTTATTTACAACAATTTTATCGCGTTTCAATATTACCATGTAATAATTTTAAAATTATCTCGCTTATCCGCCTCGCTTATTACGTTGAAGAAATCATAAAATTCAACATTCTTTTTATTCGACGTATATATCAAGTGTGGCTAGTGTGAGAGTAATGCCCGGATCTTTTGGGTATAGTGCTTCAAAAACAGGTTTAGATCACTTCACTAGAGCTGTGGCACTAGAACTAGCATGTCATTGTGTTCGTATCAACGTGATTTACCCAGGACCTGTAAAAACGGATGTTGTCGGTAATATAGGAGCTACTAAAGAAAGAATTAGATGATGCTACTTTTACCAGATTGCAAGAATTAACAGCGTTGAACTGTGTTTCAGTATTTGAGGAAATACCTGATCTAGTTTTGTTCATAGATTGCGATACGGCTCAGACTATCAAAAGATCGTCCTTCGTTAATGATAATGGAATGATATTGAAATGTAATTAAGTAGGTAATATTTTGTAATTCAAAATTTTGTTTTGATATGTTATATTTTCGATTATTTTTTCAATGGTTTTGTTGTTGTATGATTATTTTAAACACGGATGGTTCAAGGTCCTACTCACCATCGTTTTTACCTCTATATGTATGTATGTAGTTAAACTTTACCACAAAAAATCTGATTCGATTTTAGAAATTAGATATCAAGAAATTTTTCAAATTTTTTTTTTCCTGTATCATACGTTTTGTGACACATTTATTATTCAGATTTTTTAAATATGAAACAAACAAATTGATAGTCGTATCAAAATGAATTACTAGATAAGATTGCCTTGTTTCATTTATATAAATTAATTTTATAGTATAAGTAAAGCCAGTGTAACATTTACATTAGTTGTGAGACTTTAATATCATGAGTTTCAAAGACAAAGTAGTGATTGTAACAGGCGCTAGTTCTGGCATAGGAGCTGCAATTGCCATCAAGTTTGCAGCAGAAGGGGCAAAAGTAGCCTTAGTGGGCAGGAACCAGGAGAAACTGAACAACGTCGCGAAGAAATGCGGCAATCCGGTAGTAATCGTTGCTGACGTGTCTAAGGATGATGACGCTAAAAGAATTATCGAAGATACCATAAGATATTTGGGACAAATTGACATTTTGATCAATAATGCTGGTATTGGAGGTACAACAGATATTCAAAAAGAAGATGCTGCCCAAATTTTTGATAAAATAATGGCAACAAATCTTCGTGCAGCTATTGTCTTGACACACCTTGCTGTACCACATCTAGTGAATACAAAAGGTAACATTGTGAATATATCGAGTATCGCTAGTTTGAGAGTTATCCCTGGAAGTTTCGCGTACAGCACCTCAAAGGCTGGACTAGATCACTTCACTAGAGCTGTGGCACTTGAACTAGCTCCACACGGTGTTCGTGTGAATGCGGTCAATCCAGGACCCGTTCGAACAGATATTATTGAAAATATGGGAGCACCTAAAGAAATGCAAGAAGTTATTTTCACCAAGATGCAAGATATGACTGCGTTAAAGAGGGTCTCAGATCCTGAAGAAATAGCTGATCTTGTTTTGTTCGTAGCGAGTGAGAAATCTAAAGGTATAACTGGTTCAGCCATAGTGAGTGACAATGGCTTAATACTAAAAGCTTAATTAATAATTTATTCAATAAAATATTTATTTTACTGGTGTTCTTTCAATGCCTTCTTTAACATTCTTTCCATTCGGTTGCCTTAATCACACCTTATCTTGATTTTTTACATAAAGAAATATTTTAGTCTTCGATGTTCTTATATTTTCTTTTTTTTTAAACGTTGCCCCACACTACCATTTGTAGTATTAGGATTAGTAGTATCCTGTGTCATGGGCGTGTTTACAAACATACAAGTTTACATACACATCATACCCAGACCCGAAACAACTATCTGTGGATCACACAGATAATTGTTCCGTGCGGGAATCGAACCAGCTACACGATGCGCGGCAGCCAGTTGCCCAGCCACCGCACCAACTGTGCAGTCGGACCTTATTGGAGAGTGACATCAGTTTTCCTGTTTACATTTAGAAAGCACCAGAATTCATTGATAATTGGTTAATACCAATGACATAATTGTCAGGGCTGCAAAACGATTGAGTCTGGTAATAATTTATATTGATCTGTAGATTATGACATTTTTATCGGTGATTGTGTAGGCTACTAATTCGTGTAGATAGCACGTAAGCAGATAATTATTTATTTTATCATATAAAATATTAGTGCTTAGTGAAGTAGCTACCTTCTGTTCTGTTCCTCTTTTTTTGAGGGGGGGGGGAGGATCATCTAAATACTTTTTCTGCCTTTGGAGAGGCAAGAGGGAGTATGAGATTCTTGCTGTATTATCAATGAACCAGTAAAATCCTGAGAAAAAATACAACATTCAATAATTATAATACTGTTTAATAAATACCAGTTATATTTAAAAGTCACGCTATCATCTGGAATATGGCAATAGGGTCACCCCCTGTTACATGGTACTTATAAATAGAGAAAGTGGGTGCTGGATTACTTACAGGCACTAACTGTCGTAATGCGGACCTCTGCTTACACCTTCGGGGATAAAGGCGTAATGTTATGTTGTATAAAAATTTTTTAACAATCGAGTTGAGTTAAACAGGGTATAATTCACGACAAAAATGTTCTTGGTAATCACATTTAAGTACGGCGCTGCGCTCTTGTTTTATACTCGCCTGTACTTGACTACTGTGACCTGAATCCACGTAGATTTTAAATCGACTGGAAATGATATCGCCGCAGCTGGTTTTAGTTTGAATCCGAACGTGCAAATAGAGGTAGGATTTGCTTTTGCCATTTCCAGTTCTTTGTAAGCAGAGATCTGTGTATCTATGTACGTGTACCAGTTGTACAGGTGATATGTACGTATCTAGATATATGAACAAAGATAGGTTTTATATACACAAAAGTAAGTGTACCTCTATTGATTTCATATAGGATTCGAAGCTAAAGCCAAATACCCGACTGTAATGTTTTATTGCGAGTTTTTTTTTATTAGGTTACATACATCATTATCGAATGTACGCTATGAAGCTGTCTCTCGCCTCATCTCAAAGTGTCAACTGATTAAAAACCATCCCATTCTTACTTTTGTTTCTAACTGGAGCCCCGCCCCGCAAACTTGCTATAAGTAAAGTATTGTGTCCTGCGTACAGCAATAGGCGCTGTTGGTTAATAGAATGTTATATAAAAACAGCAAAAATCTTGGGACATTAAAAACTGTGACGATATACTACCTCTATATAACATATAATTTATCAACATTGCTCTCTCATCAAACTGCCTCGTTGGCCGAGTGGTCGCAAGTCAATTCGACTGTATTTTTTTATGTTTGTTATTAAAAATCCCAGTAGTAGCACGGAGTCTGGAAATGTGACCGGTATATGGCAATATGATCACCCCCTATTACATGGGACTCATAACATAAATAGTGAAAATTGGCTGTTATATTGTACAGTGGCATAATGTGCACCTCTGCCTACCCCTTCGGGGATAAAAGGCGTGATGTTGTGTTATGTTATGTTATCAACATTGTTATATTAATTGCTTTCTACTTGATCAAAATATCGTTTCTATTCTTTGCTTTTCAATAACCACTGGAAATTGAATCATCACAAAGCAGTCATAAGCATCATAATTGCGTATCAGTTTTCTAAAACTGATTAGCGGACTAACAATGGCTCTCCGACTCTTAATAACTATTTGAAAACGCTCCACTTTTGTAGTCAACTGTACCTGAGTGCTCTGACCTGGATAAAAATGGATTTGAAATCGACTGGAAGTGATGGCTTCAGGGTTTGTTCTAATTTCCCTTTTTGCTTGTATTATACAGGTAAAGGTTTTATATATTAAAGGCAAGGGGTCTCAAGTTCGATTGCCGGGTCGGGCAAAGTATTACTGGTTTATAAAAAAATCTTAGTAGTAGCACAGAGTCTGGGATTGTGCCCAGTATATATGATAATAGGCTCACCCCCTATTACATGGGACTCATAACATAAATAGTGAAAATTGGGTGTTATATTATACAGCGGCATAATGTGCACCTCTGCCTACCCCTTCGGGGATAAAAGGCGTGATGTTATGTGTGGTTTACGTGTAATAAAATACAAGAAAAGCTTGTAGCATCGTATAGTGCCTGCTGAAACGGCTCGAGATAACAGGAAGATACTACGGTTACAAAATCATTTTAGCTTAAAGAATAACTTTTTCCAGAAATCCAAAAAAGACAATGATTATTAATGTCTGGGCAATCTAATAGAGGAAAATTGAGCAAAAATCTACTTTATTACAATAAAATAATTTTAGTGCTCGATAATTAAAATGTAATACAACATCTAGCACCACTACATCGTTGTAATATACAGTCGCGTACACAAGTGCTTGCAACCTCGCAACTATAATATTGCATAACTTTTATGCGTTGGAAATAAAACTGGAGTCAACTTTGATGCGTATGTTCACTGCAGTAGCAATTGCTGTTTACGACTGTACACATTTCGTTGTTTCTGTAACTGTACGTTTTTATATATATATATATTTATTTAAGGGGAGTAAAATCATCGCCTGGATGTGGTGGGAGGGAGTGTCAGACTCTTACTGACTAAAAACCATCCCGTTCCTTCTCCTGCACGTCGAGCCGGAGCCCCGGTAACCCGTTAGGTTCTCCGCGACTCCGAATATAGCATATCGCTTACTCCCAATCCCAATAGGCAAAGACAATGGGACACCATATGAACTCGTGTCGGTACCTCTTTCGCTGCATTTGCAGTCAATAATCTCTTTTTTCGCAGGCCCTATTTTTAATATATAATTTACCTGGTATTATGAGTATTTTCGTAGTAAATGGTTAAATTAAATATTCAAATTTTATCGTCGAAAGAAGATTGATCGTTAGTGCAATGGTTAATCAAAATTACTAAAAGGGTTTTTGAAAACCTACCTGATAAATATTCTGTGGGTTTGAGGTTATCCGCTATAAATGGGATAGTGGTGTCAATGTATACTATAGTTAGCAACATTATCAATTACAGTGGTTTGGAGAGTAAATAGATTAAAATGAAATTGTTTATAGTTGAAAGTAATATGCTTAGGTGATAGGCCATAAAGATCAATTTGATATTGAGAAAAATGATGTCAGATAAGTAATTTTTAAAAAGTTACATCATTTTATGCCTCGTTGGCCAAGTGGTCAGAAATGCGACTGCCGGGTAAAGGGTGTCGGGTTCGATTACCGGGTCGGGCAAAGTACTACTGGGTTTTTAAAAAAAGTTTCAGTAGTAGCACGAAGTCCCATTCACTAGCGGCACGGGTAGTGGGTTCGATTCCGGGTTCGGCAAGTCAGTGTTGCATATAACGCTTACTGTGTCTGGAGTGTACTGTGCGCTTTAACATCGCCCAGCGCCAGCCGCAGGAGTTAGAAACAAACGCACGTGATGTCCGGCAGAGGGCGCGTTAGGCTCGCAGCGCAAGTAGCAACACCGATACGAGCGCCAACGCCAGCCGGTGAGCTGCGCGACATCGCAGCGACAGAGCACGCTGCCCATGAGGAAGAACCCCTCTGTGGGTCGAAACTAGTAGAACTTTTCTCAGTATATTCACGTGAGTAACCTGCGGTTTTAGTTAATTTAGTATGTCTCACTATACCTCTAGTTATTATAAAAACAAGATATAAGATAA